ATATGGAGAATTGGTTCTGAACAACCAAATTTCCAATGAATCACACAACAACATGAAGCAATTCTAAATTGACTATTTCGAACTAAATGTTCCCGTTTCATGATAAAAGTAAGCTGAAGAACCATGCTGCATTCAGAAGCAACACTTTGCAGATCGTACCTTGAAAAGTGTAATATCAGGAGAAGTTTCATATCTATGAGAAGCACGAACAACATTATCCTTAATTGGGTCACCAGTGAGAACCCATTCTTCAGCAATGCAGACAAATGGAATCCTCTCTTGTCCATCAGCAGAGAATGCTGTGGCACGCTCCTCCTGGATACCTGACATTGCTTCCCAAGCAACTCTATCAGAATGCATAAATCCTGAACTCTTTCTCTTTCGATGAACATCCTTTGGAGGAATCTTGGGCGCATTATCACGATTCGTCCACGAAAAAGCCCGGCGAGCCTCTCTTTGCCAGTTACCAATACTGCTTGCAAAATTTGACATGGATGGTGTGCCAGATCTAGTTTTTTGCTTTGATCTAGACCCTGAAACGGAGATCCTGGTCTCCCTATGAGCAGCACCAACATTCACAGTAATCGCTTTAGCAGCATATGCAAGTATTAGATTGTCATCTCTCAAGGATGGAAAGTCTTTCAATATCTGCAAATAAACATCATCAGTAAGCAATTCTCCGGTTGCACTTGAGAGTACAAGAAATACTGCCAAAATTTCATGATGTTAGTCATATGTTACCGTTCATGTCTAATGAAACTCATTAATGTTGCAAAGATTCTTAGTCAAAATGCAATTCATTAACATTGCAAAGATTCTTAGTTCAGAACTTACAATTGTTAACAATATTGTGGATAAAAGCTATAGTGAGTAACAATATACCAATGATGCTGATTGTAGCTGCTTCATCATCAATGTAACTTCAAGAATCAAATGAGGATGTTCATGCAAAGCCGAACATCGTTGCTGGGATGGCGATGGCAGTAAAGCTAAAACACGAAGACCCAGTGCCCACAAGTTAAGTTGGGCAACTTCAGTGTCTGAAAGGTTTCCAACTCTCCGTTTTAAGAAAAAGTGCACCTGAATGAGTTCAAGTTGTTTGAATCAGAAAAATAAATAAAATAATATCTAGGGAAAAGTTATTTGCAAGGCGTTATACAAGAAGCTGCTTAGAGCGCAAGTCAGGTAAAAGCTGCATAGCTCCAACAGCAACGGGTAGGGCATCATCTGAGTCACGCAATGAAGAAAGAAACCTTGAAGCCTCAGCTGGGCCTCCACCACTAAGTGGGTCTGTTGTGAGTAATTTAACAAGTTGTCGGCCTTGCAGTTCTCTACGCAACTCGACAGATAAAGATGCACTTTCGGCAACTTCTAAAGCAGCAAAAACAGCCCCTTTACCAGCTAATCTTAGTGCTAAACCTTCAGGATCTTTCTTACAATCATCTTCTACCTGAAAAAGATAATAGAGACAAAATTTTCAACATAATATGCTATGAACCAAAGATTTAATCTCAGTCCAATACTGGTTTCAACAATTTTTAGGATCAATACGTTACCAGTTTACCACATAGTGTATCTACTTAAACCATTTGGTATCAACTTTAAATTGTGATCTATAGCCTTACCATCTTGTTATCAATAAGAATGCATGATATATTCAAAATCTGGATGGAAGAGATGGAAGTAAAATGAAGTCATACCTCTTGCCAAGTGCTGTAATGCTCATCAGCATTTAAAATGTGACGGTATCTCTGAAGAGCTTTCCTCATAAGCAAGACCTACCAAGACCCCGAACAGATATTATATTTGGATGCATGATCAAAATAATTTTGCAAAAAATTATATTGATGCCAAAATGTCAATATTTTGTACAAAGAAATCTGAAGCTTTTGACAGACAACTGTATTTACCTCACTCCGCAAAGGTTCATAAGAAGGCAAGTGGCAGATGCACATAGTGAGAACATCAATTGCAGGATCTAAATCCCACCTATGTAGGTATCTGAAATTCACAAACATAAAGTTAATTGCAAAAGCCTCAAGCAGAATATCCAACAAAAGAATATATCAAAACAAGAACAAAACCAATAATCCATGGATTTCTTTGCCAGCTGGGACATACAGTCTCAGTTGGCATCATCAATATATGCTTATACATAAGCAAGTGAAAATTCACACAACTGACATGGCAGCACATTGTCATACGAAGATATACAATGTCCCCAAGGGGTTCCCAGCATGTTCATAGACAGAAGGATAGGCAGGTTCCAATACGGACTGCCAATCTAAATAAGGGAATACCATTCATGATCATATTAAAACCACTTGAGAAGTCAGAAAACCATGAAAGCCAAAGAATTGACAAATTTTGGCTGGTCTCAACTGATACAAGCACCACATTATGCAAAGTTGAACCTACTTGATCCGAGTCTGATTCTACCAATTTGATTTGATGATTTGAAGCAACCAATCCATCATATCCGAATCTTAAATTTTTAGAGATCCTTAGGCATGCCTCTGTGCAAGAGCAAACACAATTTTATCATCTAAAAAAGCCAAGGAATACAAAAGCAGCAAAACTGCCTGGACCAGTTCATACCAGCCGTTATTTAGTGGTTCGGGTGTGAAACAGTCCAGTTTATATTAAAAAAAGATCCTGTGCCTAGGGTTTTCTGATGTGTTGCAGACGTGTGACTTGGAAGCTGGCAGCCACATTGTAGGCCCATCCCTCAGTTGCCGCCAACCATACCCACACTGATCTGGCCATGGACCCATATAGGTCCAGTATTTAAAATGCATTCTTGTTTAATGCTATTGAAGTCAGTTTTAGTACCAAGACAAAGAACCACCAAATTTTGGTTGGTTTT